CCCCAAAACCCCAAAACCCCAAAACCCCAAAACCCCATCTCAAAATCCCGTACAAATATTCCTGGCAAATATGTCCACCGAAGAAGAAACCCAAATCCTTACTCAAGAGAAGCAAAACTTGGTCACACTTTACGAACAAATGAGAGGCAGTGTAAAGGGAGTTTATATGACCAACACTGGACAGGTTAATTATAAACTAGTAAGTGGGGGAAGAAGTGGGATTTCGGGAAATTATAGAGGAAGAATAGGGACTATATAGAGCGTACTTTTGGATGTAGTGTGGGGGTCAATTTTTGGGGCTTAAAAGGAATTTTTATGTGTGGTTTTACTTCTTGAGATTTTGTGGATTTGGGAAGGTTTGAGTAGAAGTTAATTATTTTAGGAGGGAGATTTAAATAAAGGAAGGAAAGCCTTAAAGCCGAAAATATGTTTGAGATCAAGAAACTCCTTATCCTTGTGGCCCTTGGCTTACACGATGCCCCGAAGATTGATTGAAATGATGCAGCTAATTGATTTTGTGTTGTTGTATGATTCTATGCTACTGTTTGTTGGTCTCACAAAGCCTCTCCCCATGAGATTTTTCAAACAAGTAGTTCCCAAAATGTGTCAGAATACAACAAGGGAGCTTTCTATTTTCGAACTAATTCTGACTGAAAAACAATTCGTCATACTCTGTAGAAATTGCTTTAGGACAAGAGATATCATCTTGAGAAGCTGTACAATACCTGAAATAAAACATAAGCACAAGATGAGGCCTTCCTCTTTACCAAAGCTTATCTCATTCTCGGATTGAAAAGACTCAGGAGGTAACGACGAATGGAAAGAAGAAGTTATTCTTAGTTTGCTAGAATTTTTATTCGAACCACAAATCTTTCCTTCTCTCAAACACCTATGGATAGAGGGAGGTCCAAAAACGCTAGAGTATGCCAAAGAGTACAAGGAATGCCGTGGTTTGTCTCCAGTCAAGTTCAGTAATGCAGATGAGATGTCCTCTTACACACATTACTCGTGCAGCTACCCAGATAACGAAGCATTATTTTCAGACAGAATCCATGAATCCTGGTTGAACTAAAATCCCAAATTTCTGTTCAATGCAATTAAAAACCTTTGGGGTTTTGGGGTTTTGGGGTTTTGGGGTTTTGGGGTTTTGGGGTTTTGGGG